GTATAATAAAAATGTAAACAAAAATAAGGTTGTTTATTTTCCAATGAATTGGTCAACTTTAACCAAAAATAACACAAATTCTGTTCATTTTACGACCATAGTTCTAATGTGAACATTAATCAGCATTCAAAGAGCTTTCTAAAGATATACAGCATGACCATATTGGGAGATATGAAAATGTTAGCATATAGTTGCAAATACCAAAATCTACCATTTTGAATTTGGCCCAAATCAGTAAAACCCTTGAAACTCAGGCTAGAGTCAAAAGTCCACAAAAATTTGTACATATCTTGCCATAAAGCAGACAAATTGTCAAATTTTTAAAAAAAAAATTAAAAGATAGTTATTTTGAGATATTAAAAGGTTAAATTATCTTATTTGACCTTTAAACAATATATATATATATATATATATATATATATACACACATCTCACCTTTTAGATCTATCCAAGTACTTTAAAAAATGCTTTATAATTTAGCTTTGTGGATGGAAAAGCAACAGAGATATTGATATTTAAACTTTGTGACTATTTTCTAAAATTCAGCTTTTTGGCAAGGGTCAAATCTCAAGAACCCTTTGACCTAGAGATACAAAATAGGTACCATTCAATTTTTATCATTAAGCTCATTAAGTGTATCAAATTTGAAAAATAAAAAAAAAAAAAAAAAATCTGTTGGTGATGGTCAGACCCTTGTTGATTTGATATGGAATGACTCACCTCCTAAACTATAACAGTGAATGCCTACAAAGATATAAAATAGCAGTGATAAAAACTTTTTAAATAGAGTGCACTTCACCTTCTCTTCCCAGAAAATATTTTAGCAAACATAAAACACTAGTTAACAATAATTTTCCCAATTACATTATCAATAACCAAATAAGATTTTTTTTATTCCTACAGAAATTAAATGCCACCAATACTAAAAATACAATCTTTTAATGCAAAAAAAAAAAAAAAAAAAATTATAAGAGATGAATTCATCATATGACAAATTATTAAATAATGTTTCACATTTTGACCCCAACAAATGTTTAAAACTTATATATTATGGAAAATTAAAAACTGCCAAAATCATAATTACTAATAAGATCAAGCCTATCAAATCTAAATTAAAAGCAACCAATGTAGTATATCAATTTAACTGCCCAGTACAGGATGGTCTCTTGTCATAAACTGATGGTCTACATTGGTCAAGAATGAAAGCTAGGCCCAAGCGAAGCCGAAGCTTATCATTACTCAGAGGCTCTGTCAGGGAGATTCACTTCTGGAATGACAGTCAGGATCATAATATCCCACCACCCGCCACACACCCAAAGAGAAGCCAGTGAATAACCTCGGACAGCTGTATGAAATTCCACTGATTGGTACCGAGGTAAAGAGGTGCATAAAAGTGGCACTAGATGACCTTGAATTCATCGACAGAACTCAACTACCCCAATCAAACTGAAGGATTGGTTTTACCAACATTGTTTGCTGCCCCGGCTTCAGTGTCCATTACAGGTGTATGATATTACTTTGTTTCACATTCAGCAGACACAGCAGTGTATCAAAAAGTACATGCATAAGTGGCTTGGAGTTCCCCCCTATACCAATGCCGGAAATCTATCTTCCCATCTCTTCATTTGTAGAGGAGTTCAAAGTCAGGAATGTACACCTACACCTTCACTTGATGAATAGGGACTCAGCTGACTGACACTGGAATGTTTGGCAGTAGAAGCCACCCAAGAAGCAGAATCCAGCCTGCAAACCAATGAGATTATGAGGACGACCCAAACTAATTAATCTGGATTATGAGGACGACTCAAACTAATTAATCTGGCCTGGGCAGAATGAGCAATCAGTTTTTATTCAAGCAGGGTCCAAAGTGTAAGCGAGACATAGTGATTGAAGAAATCAGCAATTTCAAGGAAGAGCAACAAACAGCTACTGCTGTTTCTCAGTCCAAACAATGTACTTGGGCTGCATGGAATGATATTGATCCAATGAAGCTATCATGGAATACCCTGATTGCAATGGAACCTATGATCTATCAAATGTGACCAACCACAAGCTGTCAGGATACACTGATGTATGCGCATTATGTCAAAGTGATCAAGGCACTTTGTCATGTGCTCTCTGCATGACCACAATAATTGTAGATGTATGTGTGGTATTCATAAAGTGCTGGAAGTGGTCATGGACTTAGTACACAATGTGAGGCAGCCAACAAACTGTAACAGCCAGAGAACCTAAGATCTGTTTTCAAAAGGAAGGTGAACACCCTGTGTGAAAGACCCAAATAACTTCCAACATGACACTACTGAATGGAGCCCATGACTGGAGAGTGTTAGTTGATATCAGAACACCTCTGAATTTTCCAGTACACATTATTCAGAGAGATGCATACTCTGAAATTGTAGTGTGGTCTGATTCAAAGAAGTGTGTCCACCTAGTAGAATTAATGGTACCATGGGAAGAGAACAAGGGGGAGGCACACGAGTGAAAGAAAAACAGTTATGAATTGCTATGATCTAACTGCATGGAAAAGGGACAGACCTATTGAGGTTGAGTGCCATGGATTCCTTGAACTGTCATTCAGTTCCTTCTTTTTGAAGGTGGTCATCAAGTTGGATCTGGTCAAGATCCCAAATAAAGTTAAATAAAACCATGCTCACAACACGATGCTTCTTCCAACATGAAACACATCTGTTTACCTCCAACTCTACATCATTAAATAACAGTCACTAAGAGTGCATTGTGTATTTTAACACAACGTTGAAAATTTTAGTTACAGTTGCAAAAAGAAATTGCAAGAGACTGACACACATACAAAAACAATACACTGTCTGGTGGCATCAGGGGTGCCAGTACCACTTTAGACACCCAAACAGTGTTACCTCCCATGGTTGGCGGCTGACGAGTACACTTTATCACATGTGCTTTCACATGCTGTATGTAGAGAATATATATATGACAAATTCAAGAATAAACAGATTTGGGCTAAGGGTAGCTATGAGTAAGTTTTACCTTCTGTTAAAAAGGTGAAACTTACAGAAAATGTTTTAATAGGTAAGCAACACTGAGGTAACAAAATTAATGCAAAATCTACACTACAATTGATACAGTTAACTAAGTTTCAAGGAGCAAACAAACTGGAATTTGAATCTTACCAAGGTTTTATTCTTTATTTTCAATCTTGCTGTTTAACTAAAAATCAGACTGACAATGTGAATATTTGCAGTAAACTAAATATCGTGAAAAATACTCAAAATTCAACACTTGACAATGCATAAAAATAAAAAAAAAAATTAATTCCTTCAATTCATCCTTCTCCACTCTTTATTTTTGACACCAATGGCTTGAGTAGATATTTTTCAACAATTTATTCTCTTAGCTAATAGAGAAAAATAAATTCAAATATTCTTTGTATGTTGCAGTACGCATAATTTATGGAAATTAATATATATTTCATACATTTTTTGGGGTGGTTGATGTATCCTGTTTTGAAAATTTCAGATGAAATGGTTGCATCACCTACTTTCCAAAAGTAAGATGACTAAGCAGAAAAGAAAAAAATAACACACATAAAAAAAAAAAAAAAAAAAAAAAAAAAAAAAAAAAAAAAAAGAATATAATTTATTCAACCAGACCAGTTTATGGAAGCCAAAGTAATAGTAAGAAAATGAAGAAATTGTAAAAAAACATCAGAACTTCTGGCTGAGAGCTAATTTCTAATGAATCTTCCAAAGAAATATGATAAACTTTCTCAGCTATAAGAAACATAAGTAAACTTATTTGACTAATTGAACAGCTCCCCAGCACGCACACATAAAAATGCTCTGCCTGCTGGCCATTCTTGCTTATTTCCTCTCACCCCCAAAACAGCAACAGCAAACACCAACACACTCAAGTCTGAAATGAAATCAGTCACAAACAATTTTTGGAAAGGGGGAGAAGAAAAAAAAAAAAAAAAAAAGAAAAAACCATATGTTCTAAGCAAGGTTACTTGGTTAAAACATATGCAGTCATTAAAATGTGCATTCTATGCATCCTTGACATTTTTTTCTTCACTTATCCAGTGTTTTACTACATATATTATGCATTAGTAATAGAACATCCTTTCTTTTGCACTTGGCTCTCATCATGGTATGCTTCACTGAGAGAAACCACATTATAGTTTAAAGTCAATCATATATATATATAAGACAAAAAGACATTTTTGTTTAGGCATCACTTGTCCAATTGAAATTTTTTTTTTTTTTTTTTACACTCTGAATACTGTTTCTGTTACCAATTAATAGACTTTGTATTTGCCTCTGATCAAGAAAATATTGGGGACAATTTAAAGACAATTTTCCATTTTTTGAAACTACCAAGCAACTTGAATTCTAACAAGTGATCCAGTAGATATTTGCTAACACTTTAGTTTCCATTGAATGAATAGATTCTTAACTAAAAAGGCAAAAGGCAGTGTAGACATAACAGTCACATTCACTAATATCATTTAAGAGAATCAGTTCACTCTACAGGAGGAAAAGGTGATGGTAGGATCTTTCTCATTCTAAAACAGCGAATACCACAAGAAAAATGTTGAGGAAAAGGAGGAATAAAAAGCAATTAAAATTGATTTTCAGTCAACAGGTGGGTATTACAATCAACAAAGTCCACATTAAAAGAAAGAGATCAATGCACAAAGCTGTGTGTTTATCTACTTTGCATTAAAAATTATGGAAATTGCGCTATATAAAAATTATTTTAATCATAATTTTTAACTGAAATATCAAGTAAACTGATTTATTTATGCACATCTTAATATTTGAGTGACATTTTAGGAATTAAGAAATTGTTCAAACTAATCTTTTTTATTCATCTATCATCATATATATATATATTATATTATATTACACACACACACACACACATACATACATACAAGAGATAAAATAATGAGCAACAAGTAATTTGTTTAAATTAGGAGTTAAATGAAAATTTCTCCTTACAGTATCATAAAAACTTACCACTCAAGTACTCAACCCACGTTTGAATAGATTCAGTGGGATCTGTCTCTTTAATGTGTTTTAAAGCCTCATCCAGTAAAACATCACCGGTTGGAGTATCAGATTTGCAGATGATTTTTCTGGTAAGCAAACTGCGCCTTCTCATACCAGCTTTTTCAAGTTCTATTCGGCCTCGTAGGCCCAATTCTACAAGGATACAACCTCGTAGACCAGACGATATACAATCATTCCAAAATGATGTATACCCCTGTGAAGAAGGAAAAAAAAAAAAAAAAAGTAATTAGAATTCAGAACTGAATAAAAAAAAATTAAAAATTACCAAATCCTTCAAATATGAATTATCCAAGATCATTAAAGTGGAAATGCATAGTTTTAAGCTGCTAATTTCTATCATTTTTTTTATCTACACTTGATAAAGACGATTTATAAAAAGCCATTATTTTGAAGGTGAAATATTTTCTTTTACATAAATTCACAAGTTTTAACAAATTTACAATTGAATTACCAGCTGCATGAAGATAAAAAAAAAACAAAAAAAACAGTTTCTGTACATTTAAGACAATAAAAAAAATGTTTTCATCCTTATGATTTGTAGATATTTAGACAAACATTCTCTTTCTTGGAGGAAACATTTTAGATTATAGAAACAGATTCTTGACATTTGTTTATCATCAAAATGAGATGACAAGAAAAAGTAAATTATACACGGAAGAGAATCAAATTAAATCTTGTATATTCTAAATAAGGGATAAAAATATATAAAATGTTAAAAAGTTGATATTTTTAGACAAAAAAAAATAAAAAAGAATTTAAATAAAATAAAGACTGCCAACTCATTTTTATTAGAGTTAATAGCAGGTGAAAAGTTATAAAAATCATAAATAAACAAGTCAAACACTGTTTTAAAAATTCATGACAATCTATAAAAGACTTTTTAAATTTGCAGAGAAAAATTGATAGGTTTCAATTTAAAGCAGAGATTTTTAAATATACAGTTAAGCACCAATGATGTATTTTTTCTATATCATGAAATTTATGAGGAGAAAAAGAAACCAACCAAGATTGATTATGGACGACAAGTCAAAAATTGACTTTTAATTAATTTTGCAATCTTTTTATCTTTCTTTACATATTGTATTTTTCATAATATTTAGGTTTCTTTATATTTTATACCATCTGTATCATCTCTATACACTTTATTTTGTTTCTTATTTTTATATTTATCTAATTTAAGTCAAACACTGCATACTACAGTACAGTCGGTTTAGTATTTGCTAAACAAAAAAAACAAAATACATTTTGGTTGCAAGATATACCAAAATATATACAAATACAAAACAAATTAGTCACTGGTGCTTGGTTGTGGATCGTCAATGTTGTCAGCTGGGATGGAGTTCAGAGTAGCTAGTGGAGTGTTTTTTTTTTCACAAACATGATTGGCTTTGTTTGAAATGTTTGTATCTTTTTCTCCACATAAATTTCATGATATGAAAAAAAAAATACATCATGTGCCATCCATTCAATCCTTGCAAATCATTCGATGCTTGAATCTATCCCTTCAAAATGTGCAAAACAGTTTATTCAGTAGATAAACCTCCTGAAAATCCCTTAAATGGTAAGTTTCCTTTCTGGCTCCCCCTCTTCCTCTTCTCTTTCAATGTGATTAGGTCCTTATTTGTAAGTTCTCTAGATTGTAGGTCTAAAAACTCCTCAACATCTTCCACATACCAAACAAAGCTGACTTGCCAATTTTACTATTCCCCACCAAAACCCCAAATCATTTCAAGTTCATGTCACTGTTAAATCCAACATCATTAACATAGTGCTTAACACACTTTATTCCAGATGTCATTTGTGCACTTCTTGATCACAGCCTCCTAGATGGTAGCAAGATTCTTGATATGCATTCCTTCAAAATCTGAAATAGACTTCCAGCCTTTGACTGCACAGTAAAAAGACTGAACAGAAGCTATTTGGATCTGATTTTACATCCATATATACAACAATTTCTCCATTTCATGGATGGACAAGGTCCATTGCTTTGTTATAACTGTCAATTGCATAGGTGCAGATCCTTCCACAGCATTACAAATTCTTTTTCTGTCCTTCAAAATTGTCAACACAGCAGTGTGTGATAACTCTAGATCACATGTGATCACATTCACGTTCTTTCCTGCTTCATATTGTTTAATCAACCATCAAGGATCAAGAGCCTTTTTCTCATTTCTTGGCAGGTTGAGGAGGAGACAATGACAATTTCCTCTTCATAGAAAAATCTTGGAGGTTTTTTTGAAAGAAAATTTCAAAAATACAAACTCAGAGAGAAGTATGCTATACTGAGGCTTTCCTTAACACTGAGCTTGAGGTGCACCAGAGAATACTGGTGCTGCTGGGAAATGGAGCAGAAATTGTTGGACACAAAGCTGGCAAAACACTTCCAGTGACAGATACAGAGCAGTTGAGGCTAGACATACCAATTTGCAGTTGTTGTCGACGTTGAACAGTCAACGATGATCTGTATCTTGTTTGATTTAAAAACTAGTTGAAAATCAGAAAGTTAATTACATGCAAACTATTACTGATAAATTTTGTTAAATATCATCTCCAATACTCCAGTCATCAATAAACAGTGTAAATCTAGTCAAGTGATACTTAGTATTTTCTACAATATGCTACATAGAAAAAAAAAATATAATTAAAAATTGTAGGAATAGAATTTTTATTTTCTCCCTCTTATTAAGTCATGTTTAATGAGTAACACTTAAATAAACAGCATTAGGTTTTAATTAAAATTATAAAAATTAAATGCTAAATAAATGAATTATGTGGAAATAAATATTTGTAGTACTTTTTGAAAAGTTGCATTTAAACATTTGTTTTATATGTAACTGATATTTATGATCACACACACACAAATATATAATTAAATCGATTAATTCCAACAATTATTTAATATATTTTCTGTTTATACATTATTTTTAATAGATACAATTTAAGTAAAGGCTCTGTTTTTTAAATAAATTACATTTACCAGCCTGAATGTTTGAGAAATTTCATAGAAAATAGGCATTCTCGGACAGGAATCAAATCTGTGTCCTATCCAGAACTGTCAATTGATCTGATGTGCTATACCACTCAGCTACAAAGAAAGCATCTGGTTAGCAAAGTTCAAATTACTGTTTATAAACAAATGTTCAATGATCATAATATTGAATTTTATTTAAAAAACAAAACACATGATCCATGTGAGTATTGTGAATTTTAAATGTTTTAGATTAAAAGTGAAAAAGGAGGAAAATGAAATGCATTTTCATCAAGTTGATACTCTTATTTCTGGAAATGAGAAAGAAAACTGCTATACAAATAGTAAAGAAAGATATGTGCAATTTATGGAGATGATGCCATAGCTGAGAGTATAGTTTGTACGGGGTAACTAGCTTCAGAAGTGAAAATTTTGATCTGGAATACATAGAACATTCCAGCAGGTATGAAGTTATCAATGATGGGCAAACTGAGATGTTGATTAAAATTAATCAGTCATGCAACGAGACATCACAGAAACATGCCACATATCTCATATCGGATTTGTAAAGCATTTGAAAATGCTTGGATAGATGCATCACTAATGTTTAGGTTCATCACTGAAAAAAAATTTACTGATGAGAATTTCTATCTACAATTGTCAATGAAGCAACCCATTTTGAGATTGGAAGGGCATTTTGCATTCTAAGCATCTTCCACAATATCAGACATTGAATTCAGACAATTACTGTTCCCAACTTGACTGATTAAAAAGGTACCAATAGATGAAAAGCATCCAGAATTGATCATATGGATAGGGTCTTATCTTCCATCAGGACAGTGCCAATTACAGACATGGATGCCCTATAACTCCTACCATACCTTTTGGATTCTACATTTTTTGGATTACCACTGTGACCAAGTCATCACCCAGAAATGCCAAACTCTGAGAGGATGGAATCTGCCTCAAAGACGGTGAAAGGTTGTGGGAACAAAATAGAATGCATATGGTAGAATAAGCTTATATACAAATATCTAAATATTCTCTTTGAAATTTACTTGTGGGGAAAAAAAATCATACAGACTTTTGTTCTGACCTAATGAAATTAACAGAACACTTCTGTTATTTAACAATAATTCATTACTGGGAGCAGGGCAGCATCTAGAGCCAAGCCCCCACCCCAATCAATATAAAAATATCTAAATATTGTCCTTGAAAATCATTTTTGAAAAATGTGGCACAGACTTTTGTTCTGACCTAATATTTAAAATTATGAGGAACACTTCCCTCATTACTTAACAATAAATCCTTACTGGAAGTCGGGCACCATTTAGAGTCAAGCTCCCCTCAACACACACACACATAATAACCAATATTTCTTTCCTTTCAACCAAAAACATTGCAACTGCACTGTAGAAACTTACCCAATAAAGATTGCAAATCAAAACATTCTGAAGAGCTAAGAAAACAGTAATGTAATGAAAAAACAGGATTGTAATATAGAGAGAAAGAAAAGAAACCCCAAGGTTGCATGACTAAAAGTTTGCATGAAACAGTAAATATTTTGTTTATTGATGGTATAATAGTTAGAGTTGTGGTGGGCTTGTTAAGAAAAAAAATGCCAATAACAGTTTAGCTTTAAGACAAGAAATTTCAGTCATTTTTTGTGTCTATAAAAACTGAAGACAGGAAAAGAGAAACTTATGTGGAAGAAATAAATAAAAAAAAATAAGACAGTTACTAAAAGAAAAAGCAAAGATGCATTTATAAATTTAAATGTTTTCAAAACAAATTTAAAATAGAGATGAATTCTGATTAATAAAAAAAAAAAAAGTAGAAAATGATTATGTGCATATGTTATCTTGGTTTTACATGTCAGATGTAAATGTTAAAAAACATTGCAAAGACAAAATTAAAATCAAAGTGAATTGATCTTAATTGTGAACAACATCCAATTTCTGTTTTGAAAATATTAAACATTATTTTTCAAAATAACTAGACAATATTGCTGGGGACTTGGAGGGAAGTGAAAAACAAAATAAAAAAAAAAAAACTTGAGATTTTTGTTGCTATACATTGGAAAAAGTAGACCAATTAAAAGATGAAAGAAAATAAAAGATGGCTTGTGAAATGTGCTAATTTAGCAGAATCCACGTTAGTTGTGAAGGTCAAATGACAGAACAAGACCAAAGAAGATACAAGACAAACTGGATAATCAAGCAACT